TAACTTCATTCCATTTTTGAAAGGAAACGAAACAGAACAAAGCACGTACAGCGTAAAGAGTGATACCAAGACTCAGAAGCAGAAAGTGTTAACTACTTTAGAACGTCCGAGCTTGGAAAAGAGATATTATACATTTTTGTAACTCCCCAGAGGTATGACAAACTATTAAGTCTCCATACAGATATAACAGTATGTAACTACAACCTGTCACAACTGGCCATCCAAATGACTAAGTACAGCAGATTCAGTTGGCCCTCTCCCAGTAAAATTTATAAGTAAAAACTTTATACTAGTTTTTGTACACCATCTCACCAAATGGTGCCAGGCTATCATTGTCCCCTAGATTGAAGCTTTAACCATCGCGGAATAAATTTTCGACCAGCCTCTGGGGAGACGGAAGCACTTCAGTTTTAGTCAAGTTGACGGTCTAACTTTTAAAGTGTCGTTATCGAAGTACTCTGTAGCATAATGTTCATCTGGAAAATATGCGCTACTGCCTGCCACCAACAAGGAAATTGGAGAGTGAAATCACTTTTTCAGGTATATGTAGACCGAATTAATGGCTGGGAATGGGACAGATCCCTCTCAGTGCTTAAAGAAATACAGAGTTGTTATTCAGAAAGCTACACTGCGAACGCCTCATTACATGATTACCCGGAGAGAACTCCGGTTACCAGTTGGTCTGATTTCAAACACACTTGGCAACGATAAACTGATACCATCAGAAAACGTAATCAAACTGAGGCCAGATCTAAACAAGGTACACCGGGACGTTTGATTTACTTATTTGAAAGTACTCTTATTATTATTGTATCCTTTAATTCCTACAGGAACAAAAGGCTTCAGCCATGCGTCTCCATTGCGTTCGGTTCTCTGCTAGAGTCTTCACCTGGCTCCAAATCTACCCACACGTTTTCATCTCCTCTTTACATGACCTCCTCCAAGTCACCCATGGACGACCAACTCGCCGCTTCCCTTTCGGGTTCCACTCAAGGGCTTGTCTAGTAATGTCAGTTGATGGTTTCCTAAGAGTATGACCAATTCATCTCCATTTCTTCCTGCCTATTTGTTTCACAATCAGTTCCTGGTTGGTTCGCTCCTAAAGATTTCTGCTGCTGATCTTTTCTGGCCATCTGATCTTGAGTATTGAGCGAAGACAACTGTTATTAAGGTTTGTTGCTTGTTTGAGATGCTCTTTATGACGCGCTGGCCAAGTCTCTGATCCGTATAGTAGCACTGACTTCACATTGGAGCTGAAAATCCGGATCTTATTTTTGATGCTGAGTGTTGTTGACCTCCAAACAGACTTAAGAATAGTGAAAGCTTGTCTTGCTTTTCCGATTCTTGCTTTGATATCCTCGTCAGTTCCGCCTGCAGTTGACATGATGCTTCCAAGGTAAGTAAAAGAGGTAGTTTCTTTCAGGTTCCTCCCACTTATGCTGACTGTTGTCTGTTGTTGTTGTTCTTGTTTAGGAATCTTCATCACCTCTGTTTTATCTATGTTCACCTGAAGTCCTATCGTTGATGATTCTTCTGCCAACTTGTTGCTTTTCGCTTGCATATCTTCCAGTTTGTGGGAAATCAGACATATATCATCGGCGAAGTCCAGATCCTCCAAGTTTTTTGTGTGTGTCCATTTTACGCCTGTTTCCTCATTGCCCACTGTTTGTCGCATTGTCCAATCTACTGCAATCAGGAAAATCATTGGCGATAGTAGGCAGCCTTGTCTTACTCCTGTCTTCACTTCGAAGGGTTCCGAAAGTTTCCCGTTGTGGATTACTTGGCATGCAGCATTGTCGTACAGCTGTTGGATGAGATGTATAATTGTCGGTGGCACCCCGTAGTAGCGAAGTAGTTTCCAAATCACCTCTCGATTGACTCTGTCGAAGGCCTTTTCAAAGTCAATGAAGTTGAGATAGAGAGGTGACTGCCATTCCAAACTTTGTTCATTGATGATCCGTAATGTGGCGATTTGATCAATACATGACTTGTTTCTCCTGAACCCAGCTTGTTCCGGTAGAAGTTTTTCATCCAGATTGGCATGTTTGATTCTCTCCAGAATGATGCGACTTAGTATTTTGCTTGGGATGGACAGGAGCATAATTCCGCGCCGGTTCTTGCATTGACTTAAGTCTCCTTTCTTTGGTAGTTTGAATAGGTATCCTTTCTTCCAATCCTCGGGTACTTTGCCTTCTTTCCGCACCTTCTCCAGTAGTGGCGTCATCAAGTCCACTGTTGTCTCTGGGTCCATTTTCCATGCTTCTGCTGGGATTCCATCTGGTCCTGCTGCTTTTCCAGCTTTAAGCATCTTGATTGCCTTCAGGACTTCTGATTTCGTCGGGGGGTTGGTGTTCACTGGTAGCTCTGTCTCCGTCGTTGGTATTGTTGGGCGCGTTGTAGGTGGTGGTCGATTGAGGAGTCTTTTGAAGTGTTCAGCCCAGTGTTTCCTTTGCTCCACTTCTTTGGTGAGTGACTTTCCATTGTCATCCTTCACCAGCTTGATCTGTGTCAAACGTTTGCCCGATAGGTACCTAGTAGTTTGGTAGAGTGTTGCGAGGTCTCCTTTGCCTGGAGCTTGTTCTGCCTCACTTGCCATGATTTCATAGTACTTTCTTTTGTCTTCTCTGGCACTCTTCTTTACTGTTTTGTTCAGTGTCTTGTAGCTTGCATTCAAATCCTGTTTTTGTTGCTCATCGGTGCACTGGAGAATCTTTTGTTTCACCATCCTTCTCTCTTCTATCAGTCTCCAAGTGTCCGTAGTGAGCCACTGTTTGTCCTGTCTCTTCTTTTTACCTAGAACTTCCATGCAGGTTTGACTCCACACTGTCTTCAAGTTGTTCCAGTGCTTTTCGACGCTGACCTCTTCGCCAGTGTTGATTTGTGTCTTGGCTTTGTCTTTTATACTTGCAGTGAAGGTGTCCTTTGTGTCCTGGTCCTTCAGTTTTTGAGTGTTGAACTTGGCTTGTGGTCTATCTGCAGCTACTGATTCTCTGAAAGCTTTTAATTTGATTTGGATTGCCCCTTGTACGAGGTAGTGGTCTGAGCCAACGTCTGCTCCTCTTCTTACTTTTGTGTCCAGCAGGCTGCGCCTCCACTTCCTTGAGATTGAGATGAAGTCAGTTTGGTGTTTGGTTCGCCCATCTGGTGACACCCATGTAGCTTTGTGGATATCCTTGTGTTTGTATACGCTGCCACCAATCACTAGTTCATTGAAGGCACAGAAGTCGGCGAAGAGTTTTCCGTTTTCATTCATTTCTCCGAGAGCTTCTCTACCCATGATGAGTTCGCTTCCTGTGTTGTTTGATCCCAGTTTGGCATTCATTTCTCCCGTTAGTATTTTAATGTCACCAGCTGGAGTATTATCCATTGTTGCCTGTAGTTGTCTGTAGAATTCTTCTTTCGTTTCGAGGTCTGCGTTGTTGGTCGGTGCATAGCATTGTATAATTGACACTGTCCTTCCTTTGGAGTTGAATCTGGCGGTCATTATCCTGGACGAGATCGCCCTCCATTGCATCAGGACCCTTGTTGCCGTTGGTGACATCATGATAGCCACGCCCTCGGTGTGCGAGTGGTTATCTTCTGGGTGACCGGATTAGATCACTGACTCACCCGTTGACAATTTGGTGAGTCCATTCCTATTCCATCTGCTTTCACACATTCCCAGTACTTGAATTTTGTATCTTTTCATTTCGTTTGCGATCTTGGCAGCTTTGCCAATCTCGTACATGGTACGGACATTCCATGTCCCCACAAAGACTTCTTCTTTTGTCTCAAGGAGATACATCGTGCTGAAGTTTCTGTAGCAGGTTTGTTTACAGGGTGGGGTTGCTAGCCTCACGCCTGAGAAGGGGGATTGTTACATCAATTTATAATTTAGAGAGAAGCGACCTTGTGGGTTGCTCCCCTTAAAAACCAGGAAAACAGGGAATAAACAAGCAGAAAAACACCAGCACAGGAAAATAATTCACAACAAGAAGGGTGACAAGCGACAACAACAATAATAATATCACAGTCAATTACAGTTAACCAAATGATACCAAAATCATACACTCACTGACTTGAGCCAACTTGAACATGTAAATCCATCAATATATATACAATTATAGGTATTAGTTAGTGTTAAACAAGCACAGAGTGGCAAATAAGCAGTTATATGTGTTATTGATATACAATATTATATCCAAAGATTCAGTGTTTAAAAGTCAAATAATTGTAAAAGTTTTTCGCAACTTTTGATAAGATATTCCACAAAAAGCAGAGTTTTAGGTAACTATGCAAATGTAGCGCTGTTATCGAAAAGCGCGCGTTATAGGGACAAAAGTACTGTTAGGAATTATTATTTCTGACCTGTTGCAGGATTTCATCATGAGCTGACATCGTTTAGAGAACCGTTGGAAAATCTCGGACTACTGGACAGTTGTTTCGTCCTAGTTTGAGACTCAGCTCATGGTGAAATCCTGAAGTCAAATCCCTACAAACCAATACTTGAATATTCCTGATTTCTTAGAATAAATTTAAGTAGCTATTGTGCACACGGAATATCCTCAGGAAATGAGTTTAAACCTTCTGGTTGCTGTTTGGGCTTATCTTTTGATTTGACATTAGTAACTAGTGTGATGTGTCTAGTCCTCTCTTTGGTGCAGACTGAATTCTATCAGTCAGGTTGTAATGTGGCCACCATTGCAGATAAGCCTTGCTGACGAGTGCCAACTAGCACGAAACCTAGGTCCAAGGCTTCCCGCCGATTGCCTCCAACCACTAATAGGCTTATCTTTATTCAGCGTATTCACACACAACGCAGTCATCATAACCAATTTTTATGACTTTCTTCTTCCTCAATGGCATCTTGGACCGTCGGTCATATGATTATTTACTGCAGAATGCTGGTGAAGAATTCATCCACTTTGAAGCTAATGAAAGTACAGCATGTTTATGTTTTGTTAAGATATGTAATCACTCATGATGGCGTTGAAAATTTGCAAAACAGAAATCCTTTCATTACTGAATGAAGTATATTCATAATCTGAGTGATTGGATTAGCATTTCATATAACAATGCATTTTCGTTTTGACATCCAACCGCTATATTCTCCACAACGACATGTTTAATTTTTAGCCTTTTTCAATTCAGCAGATTTCTTAAATATCTTGTCACATCCTTTAGTTCTGTTGAAATATAAAAAACAAAAAACAGAAATTCCTTTATCGAGTAGAATCATATTGTACTTTAACTTGCTAGATTTGATGAATCTAATGATGTCTGGCTACAATGCGAATGGTGACCAGTGCTTTCCGAATTTTGTAAGAGATATCAAAAAATCTTGTTAGATTTATATTTCCCGTTTATTGACACTAGTCCCTGAGGCTCAAGGACAAATTTATTGGAGAAACTGCCTAATTTCAATTTCTTACCTACGAACATAGAGCATGAAGAATAATATTCTCAGCTTAAGTTGGGAATGATATTAGTAAGCCATATCATAGAATATCCAGCAAAGAATTTCTCTCGGAATGAGAAAACCGTTTCAGCTGTATTAGTGGGTAATGGTTAGGAGGTGGGATCGTAGCATTAAATCAACTTGCTATCTCAAATAACTTGCAGTCTGATAAATTATCTTATCAAGTAATAAGTTACGCAATGTATGCTAAATTACCATTGAACTCTCAAAGTTAAACTTGTATTGGTGCTGAAGATGCACTTCGTGAAAGTAGAGTGGATTATTTTTAGCAGCAATTACTATTACGCTTCAGGAGAAGGTTTACAACATTCTCTCTATATAACCGTTTTACTCCGTCATGTGTAACAAAGGTCTCAGACTCAAATATACTGATTACTGATAGCTAACAGGTCATATCTGTTACTGCAAACCACTTAAACATCAATATATATATATATATACTAAATGAGTCATCACCAAAAAAACAACACATCCTATCATCATCATCACAGTCAACTACACACATTCAACTTTAGCATGTGCTCCAAGTATATGCATGCACATATTTATGATTATGAAGAATGCCGCACACTTACACTGTAACCTTTCGAGTACCTTTCTTCTCCTTGATCTCAGTTTTCTTAGGAGGAGAGAAATCCAATGTGATTACACAGTCATCCACCTTGATTGTCAGTGTATGATTCTTATCCAGTCCGTAGAATGTTTTGTCAGTTTTGACATATCGATTACCTAAAGGGAGAGAGAGAGAGACAGGAAGAGACTGACAATGAGTGTGTTTGTAAGAAATTGTGCCTGTTATACGTTGCATTGAATTGTCTGTCATCTAGAGTGTTCTGGATAATTTAAGCATAGGAGTTTTTGAATAGTTCTGTATTCTCTTGTTCTTCAGTTACAGAGATACCAAGATTTTTGATATTTTGGGCATTCATGTTGTGTTGCTTCTGTTACATGTATGATGTACCGATTTGTTATGATCAGGTTCATAGTGACCACTTCTTTTATTTTAGCCAAATAGTACAACAATATAAAGCCATTACTATGACCCACTTTTTTGTGTGAATATGTCTGGGTATGTTCACTGTGTGGAACTATGTATCAAATGGATAGTCTGTGGTCAGCACTTTTAAGTCAATGTGAGACATGAACGGTGTTGTGTATCTAATTGCCTATCCGTATGTTGGATAATAAGAGTGCAACTGTTTCAGTTACCAATAGGCTGCATTCATCAAATAAACATACTTATTATAAATAGTTTGTAGTTGTACACAGTGAAAACTGAACTTAGTCAGCTTATACGCAACGAACAATGCGAGGCAGAAACTGTCCGTATTTGAATAAAACTATACACTACTGATTGACTGAGATGACTGCTTGCATACCACTCATATCAACCAGTAATATTTCCTAATTAGATAAAGTTGACCTAAACACCGAATGACCATTTAGCTCGTTAAGAGTTAAGCTCATCAGAGTTTTATCCGGTTCGACTCAGCTCAGAAAGACGAATCAGTTCAAACCATTCGATTTCTGATCAGCAACTTGGGTCGACTGGCAACACCATAACTCAAATTCACGATTTATAAATTAGTTAGCAATCTGTAATGTACACTGTTCAAGGAGCGTCCATATTTGATTGACGTAGCGTAGACTATATATATCTGACATCTCATTATTATAATGTAGACTAGCAAGGGAATGATGTCGACAGCGACTGTGCTGAAAACATTCTTTTGAGAATCATGATAATTAGTGTCTAGTGATTCGGTGACATTCTTACTTACATGAATCATGTTACGCGAGACAGTGACATTCGCAGCGCCAGAGAGGTATACACGTGTATATCTGTACAACAGTAGAAGACCTTTGTGTGCATAACTAAACTATATGTAAGGGTTATCGAAAGAGTGTTGAAGAGAGGAGTGCAAAAGGTACTCATTGTCAAATACTCACCTTTATCATCGAATTTCATTTCAGCTTGTAGAACATAAGGACTGATCTCTACCAGATTCATCATGAACAAGGCTACCATGATGAAACATGCAGTCGACAAGTGGACCATTTCTTCTTCTTATTATTATTTTCTTTCTGAAATAATAATCAGTGGGATTAAGCATTAGGGCAATGGGAGTCAACTTTGTTTTTCTATCTATTCATTTGGAGTATTAGTAAACTTAGCCAATAAGTGTGTAATACTAATGAAGTGCGGCGTCAACTTACAGCACAAAATTTACTGGTTAGAAATTTCCTGCTAAACCACTGTGCATAACGATCAACGTAAATTTAGAGGCATGAACACTTACCTCATCCCTTTAACACATAATAAACTTACTTCATTAACCGGTAATGAAGAAGGCATTCAAATATTGTAGGTTTTATATCTTAGATTCAACTGTCAGAATTTCGGTCAAGTGAAAAGTGTCAATTACATCTACGATTAACTTGTCATTTAATGACCTGACACCGATATCAATTCCGAATGATCATGACACGTGATCATCAGGTCACGCTGACAAGTCTCTCATTCTTTCTAGTTGGCAACATTCAGTTTACAGTGACCAGTCAGGAAACACAAATTTAAGTTATTCTGTAGAATTGAGTTCATGTGGTGTGTTGTTAGAGTAGAATTATTCCCATATGTTCTACTGTTAGAAATTCATATTTGTGCTCATCATTGGAATGGTGCATGAGATGTGATGGTCCAGTGTAAGATCCTCATTCGAATGGAGACGTTATGGTTTTTCATTTACTGGTTATGACTCAGATGCTAAATTCGTCTGAAATTAGGTAGAGGTGAGCTCATCACCATCCTAAATTCTTATGTTTCAACTGAAGCCTTCCGAAATAGATGTTCATACAAGATGAATGCAGGAGTGAAGTAATGCTGATGTGTGCATCATGTTTTGTTTATGTCAGCAGTGATATATAACCTGGAATTGTTTGTGTAAAAAATCGTCGATGCATAGTGGTGACGTGTGTCTAATGGCACAGAAACTTTGAATAACATGGGGATTCAGTAACATACCACACTCACCAGTGTGAAAACAATGTAAGAAAAAAAGACATGTAATAAGAGAAAACGACTAGATGATACAGTGCGTCGGTGGTACAGCGGTTAGGACCCTCGCCGACCATGCACATGGTCCAGGGTTCGATCCCCTGCCGACGCACACCCGATATCAATGGTCGGCCTGCAAAATTTGGACTACCGATATCACATGCTAAAAATTCCATACTTGTACCAAAAATACAGTTTGGAATCAAGCTGTAATCCAAAAAATATCAAAAATCAAGTTTGAAAATCTGACTGGTTATATTGGAGTTTCTGTTCATCACATTAATTACGATGGTAAATGCTAAAACCAACAAATAACTGTTACTTCGTCTACTTTAAAACAATAACTGATAGTTTTCAATAGTTGGTTTGTAAGGATTAGATATGTTTTTGCGAGTTGATCACGGATTGATATCAGTTAGAGAACCATTGAAAACCAGGGAGTACTGGAAAGTTGTTCTACCCAAGCCTGGAAATCATCGGCAGTACGCACCCACTGGTCCTCGAACCCAGTTAGAAGGCAAGCTCGTGTACCATTCAGCCGCCGGGAACCGATTCAATGGCTCATGAATTCTAACTTTTACCAATTCGTGATTTAGCGTGACCACTAACCCATGTCATCGGCGGGACATCCATCCTCACACTTGACTGGATGGACCTCACTGGTTCCGACTTCTCACTAGAACTCTAGGAAACTCCGTCCTGTAGCAAGTCATTAGCTAGCATCAGAATAATTTTCAATAGTTGTTTTGTAAGGATTAGATTTGTTTTAACGAGTTGATCACGGATTGTTTGAACCCCAGTGGGTACGTACTGCCAATGATTCCTAAACTAGGATGAAACGGTTGTTCAGTACTCCCTGGTTGGTTTTCAATGGTTCTCTAACTGATAAAAATCCGTGATCAACTCGTAAAAATATCTGATAGATTTTTTTATCATGAGTTACTAAGGTCGCTTAGATCTCATTCAGATTTTCATAGCATTTCATCAGGTGTCGCATAATTCACACTATTGTACCATACAGACTTAGTAGATATCGCCTTCTTTAGAATGGTTTAAGTAACAGGAAAAGCAAACAGTTTGGAAATTCATGATGTAGAGTTTCCAAGAGAAGAGTGAGCCACAAGGGGTATTATCACTCACCTATTTTCAACACGCTCTACCAAAATTTTTATTTGGTTTCTCCAATGGATTCAAGCAACGCGCTGTAACAGGCGACAGTCTACTACTTACACTGACTGAGAAAGGAAGCAGAATTATATGTACCCAAGTGTTGCAAACACGAAATTTCATGACCTAATCAGCATTTTGACACTTCTTAACTGTAGACATTCGAAAAGAAATCTCCATCATCACAATTACAGCCAAATTTACGCTGACTGGAGAGTGTCACCACGTGTATGAAACTGGTGCAGTGTGAATATGTGATCGATCCATTCAACAACCATTAAAGTCAAACAGTGGCCGTCTAAAGTTACTTTTCTGAGAAATTTACAAAGTTATTTAGGTATGACATCAGCCTTATTCTAGTTATCTAATTGGTTACAGACTTACAAATCGATGATTATCACACCCATTACATCTACCCTTTCCAACGGTAGGCATAATTATGGAAACATACCGGAGTGACATAACACCTCCATACAACCAAATCTCTACAGATAATGTAACTAATTGTCTGACTAAAGTTTTACCGTCATTTGCAAGGCATTCTATGTAGACTGGATGCCTTAAGATGTTTTAATGACAGAAACACCTTCCCTAATCTTACTCTCAATAAAGGTTGTTCGCTGTTCAGGTGAGAATTGAAGCCTGATCTCAAGATTTCAAACCATAGGTCGATGATACTGGGTCTCTCGATAAGAAAATGTGAAAGCGCAGTTAAATTCAGAGATGGACAAGCTCATTGAAACAGCGAGTCAGATAGTTTCTGGATAACAGATTCCTGGAAGCAAAAGTACAGAATATTAGCTAAAATCTGAGTAAAAGTGCTGATAAGACGAAATGCAAAGCGGATGGAATAAGAAATAAGAATAACATAGACAGTATAGTCACTGTGGTTGAGTTTTTCACTGATTCATGAATCATTAAAAGAATCTGTCGAGGTCTGGATGTATGTTTTGCCAACTTGACTTTATTCAATCAAAAATTTTCAAAAGAATAAACACTGAACAAAGAGTACTCTTTTCGATAAATTCATCATCAGGCTCTACAATTATAATGAATGAATGAATTAGTGTTATGAACGAAATTAATGTGTAAATAACATCGAATCAATAATATTGATAGATTACAGATGAACAGCATCAACATAAAATAAGCTGAATGTCAGAAGAATTAGGAAAGATAATAGTACAAATTCATGAGTTTATAGTTTCTACTGAGGGTCAGGGCAGCAGTAGGGGCTGGACTTGTTTCTTTTGAACACAGAGCACTGGTTGTTTGAGGTTAATTGCAATAGCCCTTGCTGTTTGCAGCATGTGGTGCTTCGACGATTTTGGTAATTTGTTAGGCACCCGATATATTATAGAGAAGGATTCTTCTACGCTGGCTTTGTGACCGGTTTGCACCAGATGGTCAAAAATAACTTCAAAAGATATTTAGGAGATAAACAGGTAACCCCTGGTTGAAAATTACATTTATCAACCCCTTGATATGTATTGATGAAGACTTATTGTTGAAAAGAATCTTATCATAGTTTACCGCAGGAAAACAGAATACTTCTGAATGAGGAGCTCACTGAAACAGTACGGGAATAGTCGTTTTGTAAACACAAGTAAACTTGCAAATTAGGTTGGTATATTTTGTGTCTAAATTCAATAAATCCCTAGTGCTTAATGTACTCATGACAGTAATTATTAAAGTAATGTCAGATTGTCAGATTGTTCCGACATTTCTGTGAATGAACATTTCAATTAATCGACCAGAGGTTAAACATAATTCATCAACACATGAACTTTGAGAGTATAAATAGTCGACACTACAATCTTTCTGAGCTGTTTCTGAGCTTTGTCTTTCAAGTAAGTGGTTATTTGCATATGTTCTACTAATGCTTGTAAGATGATGAATGCAGATTATGATCGTGGATCACTGATTCCAACTCACTGACTATCTGTCAAGTATTATGAGGTTGTTAGTATGAAGTTGTAGAAATGATCCCTTTCTATTCACATCGTGTGAAGCAACTGATGAAAATATCAGTATAACTTATTGAAAGTCAAAGAAGTTGTATTAGAAATGCATACTTGAACTAGTGTATGTTCTGTTATTACTACACATTCCACAAAGACAAATTCACAACTGATAAGAGGATAATTAATATATGTACTCAGCGTACTAAGTTGACATTTGGAGGATACGATAGCTACATAACCGATGGGCTGAATGAAACACGCAAGTATAGCCGGGAAAATTTGCTACATTACTAAACTAACATCAGCTCAGTGTGTAAAACGTCAAAAATCATCCAGAACTGGATGATTATTTTACTCGAAATTGTGAGACTTCAGCAGTTTATGCATACCTACAACCTGTAGAGGATCAAGCAGAAAATATGTCATTCAGCAACTGTGCTAGGATTCACCGTCCATAATTATCACAGATATTTGATTCGAAGTCTCGTACTTGCCTAGAATAGGAAGTCGGAGACTGCTTGTTGTAATCCTTCCCCCAACCAGATTTTCATCAAGTAGTCTCACAAGTAGCCTGTCGAAAGATGACCACCCCATAATATTCCCAGATATATTCCATTATTGTCTAATTTTCAAATCAAAACATAATATCCATCTATGAAAGAAACACAAAACACATAATTTTCAATGTCGATAGATAAAAATAATTTTCACACTGTTCTCCACATTACTGTTATTCACTTGTTATATCACATATTTTAGAAAGGAGCTACTCAAGACAAAATGAATCCTGTACTTATTGGCCTTCTTCTGCTTCTGTCTTTATCGTCCTCGCCAATCATCCTCTCAACCTATGCGCAAGTCACTCAGATAGATGCTCCACTTGAATTCGGTAAAAACTGTGAGTTCTTATTAATGAATGAGCTAATCGGTACATTCCATGATTTGAAAGCAGAAATGATGAGTGAGCGATGACAGTGAATGACCCAATGAACATATAAATGACTATTTCTCAAGTAGAAATAATCAACTAGATGAACTTCACCACAGTTAACGGCTTACAAGTATTCTCGAA